GAGAATTATATATATATATATATATATATATATATATATATATATTGTATAATTAACGTATACTGTATAAAAACTCAAAGTGTATATAGATACATAGATTATACATAGAAATACACTAAATATATATTTACTGTACATGGAATACACTAATTATACATCTCTATACAAAGACCTTTAGAAGAAGAAGAAGAAGAAGAAGAAGAAGAAGAAGAAGAAGAAGAAGAAGAAGAAGAAGAAGAAGAAGATAGCAGCAGCAACCACCTGCACAAATACACTTCACCCTTTTACTTCTTCCAAGGAAATGCACATTAACTCACCCCCAAAAGAATCATGAAGCCCCAACCTCCAAAACATCTCGCAAAACACCGACAACACACCAACAATATTTACATTGTATAAACAGTGTATATAAATTGTATAATTATACATATACACTATTTATATACCATATATACATTTGTAAGGTCGTTGCAAAGAAGTCAAAGCCATGAATATACATTAATGATATATTAAGGATACACTAAAATATAGAGGATACATTTTATATATAAAATTTATACAATGTAATAGTATATATACAATTTTTATATATTTTATATATAATTTTTATAATATACACTGAAAAATACAGGATACACTTATATAATTTATACAATGTGTATATAAAATATTTAATGTATTGTATATATATATATATATATATNTGACTTTTGCTGCCACTCTTATATCATGCATCGTAATTGAGTAAATCTTTTTAAGAATTGAATCAAAAAATTTGTGATTTTTCTAGGTACTCAAACAAGTTTTTTCAGTGTGAAGTAAGAAATAAAGAGAAAAAATATAGATCTGAAATGGGAGATAAAGAAGGGAAGGAAAATATAAAAAATAAAAAATAACCAAAGAAAGATAAAAGGAAGACGAAGAAGACACAGAGAAAGAAAGAGGTGAGAAAGAAAGAGGATATGAATGAAAGTGGCAATGGGAAGAAAAATCTGTGCATTGGATAGAATGAAAGAAAGATAAAAAAAAGTTAGGAATAAATATTGTCTTGGGAAAATAAATGAATTGGAAATAGATAATGGCAAGAAATTGCAAATAAATTGGGCCGAAAGCCTATTTCGGATTAGTAATAAAAATATGGGCTAATAAAATCTTTGAGTGGCTCATTTTCTCTTAATTCTTCAAGAATTTATAGCTAGTGCAGATAATCATGTGGGCTGAGTGGAAAATGGTCGAAATTACGTGCATCCACCAGTCCCATTCACTATGGGCCAACAAGTAATTTCAGCCATTGATGAATGTTAAAAGAGCCCAAAGAAAAATCATAAGTTGATTTCTATGTTCATCTAAGCAAATTAGTCATGTCGTTCACTATATCTCCAAACTCCCATCCTAAAACATGGCAATTTACCAATTCATCAACCTTACAATTCTTTCCTCTTCCAACTAAAATCAAAGCACTTCCCTCAATAATTCCCAAAGCATATAATGGAGATGATAATTCAACAGAATCAGCAGCAGGAAAAATCAAACGTATGGTTCTTAGTCAAGAGGGAAGAACCAAACTTAACATTTTACCGGACAGGGAATTCTATGCCTACCCAAGATTTGTGACACACGTTGATGATCGTTTCATTTCCTCTTTAACAAATCTTTACAGGTACGAGTGTCAAATTTAGCCCATAAAAATATAACCCGCCCAAGTTTGAGTAAGTTGAGTTGGTGCATGAGTGATTCAGTCTATTTAATTCGCCTTTATTTAGCCCAACTCGACGATCTGACACACATATTTACAGGGAACGCTTGAGACCCGAGTTTGAGATTCTTGACCTCATGAGCTCATGGGTCAGTCATTTACCACAAGAGGTGAAGTATAAAAAGGTGGTGGGGCATGGACTTAATGCTCAAGAGCTGGCCAAGAATCCCAGATTGGACTATTTCATTGTGAAGGATTTGAATCAAGATCAGAAACTTGAGTTTGAAAATTGTAGTTTTGATGCTGTATTGTGTACAGTCAGTGTGCAATATCTTCAACAGCCTGAGAAGGTCAGTACTTTAACCTAAACGATCCCTTAATTAGATGATAAAAATGGATGACTAATCCGAAAATGTCAAAGATTTTTTGCAACTAATTTGGAAGAGAAGGATAGAATCAAGTGTTACCACAACCACATAGAGGTTGCAAAATGTGTGGTTGATTATAAGCCACACAAGTCCCAAATCGTAATATATATATTGTAAAATCTTTGGTGAATAGGAAATCGTAACATGAATAAGGGATTGATCGTTAGATATATTAGTACTACTAAATTTTGCATTAACAATACGAGGCTTAGTTTATATGTTGATCATTATATTAAATAATCTCTATATTAATTATGTTGTAAATTGGCTTTTTATATTATATTGACTTTATAATGTGACATAACGTACAATATACATATTAACACTACTGGTGTCGAATCAAGTAAATGAAAAAATTTCTCTTGAGAGTATTACTAGCTACTAGTTTAGTTGATCATCCACCCGTGGGTATTATTTCTTTGTTTAAACTATTGATTAAGATTATGAGAACTAAATTGTTTTTAATAGAACTTACATATTTGTAAGAGGAGTACAAGGTTTATTTATATGCCCTATTTTAGTATCTATCATCTTAATTTTTCAACATCAGGATTTATTAATCTAGGTCATGGGTGTGTAATAATTCTTACGAATTCATCTATTAAATTCAAAACCAAACACATGTTTTAGTTGATACACCAATATCTATAATTTAACATGATAAAATCATCTGATAACAAATACAACGCTCCAATGATCTTTTAATAGTATTATAATTCTTGCATCAAAATTCCTAAACAACTCGCTCACAAATTAACCAAACGATCTATAATAGTATTAATTAAATTTTCAGGTGTTTGCGGAGGTATTTCGTGTTCTAAAACCAGGAGGAGTTTTTATTGTAAGTTTCAGTAACAGACTGTTCTATGAGAAAGCAATTAGTGCATGGAGGGACAATACAGGATATGGTAAGGTGCAACTTGTGGTGCAATATTTCCAGTGTGTTCAAGGATTTACGCAGCCAGAGGTGATACGCAAATTACCAACTGGAAAAGATGGTGCGGCTCCACAAAATAAATCGCCTTTGAATTGGATAATGCAATTAATGGGGTTGTTATCAGCTTCATCTGATCCTTTTTACGCAGTTGTAGCTTACAGAAACATCAAACCAATTGACGAATGAATAATTTGTATTCAAATGTAAAGCTCCAAAGTACAATAGCTTAATGTCACGATCCAAAATCCAACCACAGGCGTCGTGATAACACCTAGTCTTAGAGACTATGTAAGCCGATTTTCATTGCGTTTCGAAGCCATTTTTTTAAAAATAGAATCTGAATTAAATAGATAATCAAAACCAACAGCGGAACAAATATGAATATAACAACCTCCCAAGACTGGTAGTACTCAGTCACGAACTCTAACTGAATATATGAAATGATCTCAAGGATCGAATACTCAATATTATTTGATTAATAATTAACAGTACAATAAAATGAAAAGACTTCAAGGGACTGCGAAGAACAAGCAGCTCTACCTTGAATCCTTGCGATCACACTTTAACTCTGTCCGAGTCCGATAGCTCCAATACCTGGCTCTGCACAAAAATGTGCAGAAGTGTAGTATGAGTACACCACGGTCGATACCCAGTAAGTATCAAGACAAACCTCAGTGGAGTAGAGATGAGGTACAGTCAAGACACTCACTAGTCTAATAGCCTGTGCAATAAGATATACAAAATAATAGAGAACAAATAACAATAAGGGCAACAAGAACACCATTAATAATGCTCAACAATTTATAAATATACGTACACCCAATTAAATCAAGTATTTCAAATAAATATCTTTCACATATAATTCTTCCGAATAAATCTCTTTCAAATATAATTCCTTCAAATAAATATCTTTCAAATATACTTCCTTTAAATAAATCTCTCTCAAATATAATTTCTTCAAATAAATACCTTTCGAATGTAATTCTTTCAAATAAATCATTTTGAATAAAAATCCTTCCAAATAAATATTTTGATTATAATTCTTTCAATTAAAAAGTCACCATGTGACACTTCGTTTCATAATCATACAGCTACGGGTCTCAGCCCATTTTTATATTTTTCATAAACACGGGTCTCAACCCACTTTCATATTTCTACGGCACTTCGTGCCTATAATTAAATCATCATATTTTCCCGGCACCTCGTGCCCTCATTTCATATCACAACTGCACGGACAATTCACGTTCCAATATCATCATTATTTACTCACGACACCTCGTGCCCACATTTCATATCATAATCTACCTGGTAATGGCCACAAACCCCAATTTCAACATAAATCAGACTATTATCAATTTACCAATAACAAGACTAATTGCACAAGATATAAAAATAAACACAATGAAAATCACAACATCACATAAAAATTTTCAACGCAACAACCCCATATCATCACAGATTTTCCTGACAATAGCCACCCTTATTTCTCCTATAGCCACATTTATCACTCCTATAATAGCCTCCCTTATCCCTCCGACCAGACAATATCAATAGCCACCCTTATCGCTCCTATAGCCATCCTTATCTCTCCTATAGCCACCCTTATCGCTCCTATAGCCATCCTTATCTCTCCTATAGCCACCCTTATCACTCCGCCCTGACAATATTCCAACACACATAACAATAGTGAAATGTCTCCTTTATGCCCACATAATATCAACAGTGGAATGCCACCCTTATACCCACATAATATCAACAGTGGAATGCCACCCTTATATCCTCAAATAACAACTCACACAATACAACAATTTACACGAAAAATTATCACGGCAACATAACAAAATCAATTCATATTACAATTTGCCCAATGGCCACAACCAATTTCAAAGATACAACCAATCAATTAATTTCAAAACAAATAGCCGAAGGCTCCACACAATGTGTATAAGACCTCCACAATAAACCACACAAATAGAATTTACTCAGCATAGGGCAATGCCTTTATTAATTCGCATTCTCTATAATTATATAAATACCTCTTCTTAAGCTCATTTAATTAATTATTTACAGAGGAAAAATCAGTAATAAAATTAAATTCCAAAAAAAAATAAACCAACAAACTCACGGAATTACATAAATATTCAATTAACAATCTGTAATGACTCGGCCGGTCATTTTGAGAATTAGAGCCCCGATCCCCTAATATCTGTTTTCCCCACATTTGTTTCTGCTTTTGGGATTTGCCGGAGTGATTGGTTATAGAATTCGGGGAGTTTTGGGACACTTAGTCCCTAGTTGTGAGATTTAAGCTTAAGAGTTTGGACCGTAGTCAGAACTGCATGAAGATGGATCCAGAATGGAATTTCGTCGACTCCGTTAGCTCCGTTGAGTGATTTTGGGGTTAGAAGCGCATCCGTAATGTGTTTTGGAGGTCTGTAGTAGATTTAGGCTTGAATTGGCGAAAGTTAGTTTTTCGGCGATTTCGGACGATAGTGAAAATTTTGATATCGAGCTCAGAATGGAATTCTAAACGTGACTATAGGTTCGTAGTGTCATTTGTGACCTGTGTGTAAAATTTGAGGTCATTCGGACTAGATTTGATGTGGTTCGGCGTCGTTTGTAGAATTTGGAAAATTCTCAATTCTTAGGCTTGAATCCGTGCTTAATTCATGATTTTGGTGTTGTTCGATGTGGTTTGAAGGCTAGACTAAGTTCGTATGGTGTTATAGGATTGGTTGGTAGGTTTGGTTGAGGTCTCGGGGGCCTCGGGTGTGTTTCGGATGCTTAACGGAATGAAATTGGACTTAAAGAAAAATCTGGTGCATTTGCTTGTTCTGGTGTTTTCGCACCTGCGGAAGGGAGGCCGCAGGTGCGAGAGACGCTGGTGCGGAGGAAGTACGCAGATGCGGAACTGGTGGGGCTGGTGATGGAGCACATGTGCGCAAGTTTGACTGCACCTGCGAGCTCGCAGGTGGGCATGGGAAGCTCGCAGATGCGGAAATGGGCTTGTCAAGCTAGGCTCGCAGGTGCAGCTGGTTGTCCGCAGAAGCGGAACCGCAGATGCGGCGCAAGGGTCGCAGGTGCAGGCCCAGCCCAAGTAAGTGGACTTCGCACCTGCGATGGATTTTCCCGCACGTGCGGTCCTAGGTCCGCAGGTGTGGAAATCGCTGGGTTGAAGAGGCAGATTCGAGGGTTCATTCCTCATTTTTCACCAATTCCAATTTTAGCTCGGGAGAAGGCGATTTTGCAAGGGTTTTGAAGAGAAAATCAGTGGGTAACAATTCTTAACTCTAATTCGTGTATATTTCATTAATCCATTATTGTTTTTCTCGTCTAATTATGGAATTTGAGGGTAGAAGTTTGGAAATGGGGGAGAAGGTTCCCCAATTAAAAATCTGAGATTTGAATGGGAATTTGACGTCGGATTTAGATGATTTTTGTTCGAGTAAGATCGTGAGTAAATGGGTGTTCATAATTTGTAATTTTTACCCGATTCCGAGACATGGGCCCGGGGAGACTTTTTGGCCGTTTTTCCTAATTTCACGCTTTAGCTTCGAATTAATTAGTTAAATTAGTTACTTGTAGTTATATTTATATTATGCAATTAATTTGAATAGATTCGGGCCATTTGGAGTCAGATACTCGCGGCAAGAACGTGATATCGAGTTGATTTGAGCGATTCGAGGTAAGTGGCTTGCTTAACCTTGTGTTGGGGACTTTCCCCTTAGGATGTTTGATATTAATTGAGGTGTGGGCGCCGTGTACGTGAGGTGACGAGTACGTACATGGGCTATTATTGCAAAAATCCCGTTTTTCCTTTCTAAATCATAAACTGTCTTTCCCTTATTAAATTGCACTAATACGTTTAATTGTTCAGCTTAGACTAGAGAAGCATGCTTATGTGTTTTAACTGCCTATCTAACATTCTGTGCGCCATGCTTAGTTAAGTCCCTACTTTCCTTATCTATGTTCTGTATAAACTGTATAACTCGATGTCTTACCTGCCATTTCATCTTGCGTTGCATATTTAAATTGGGACTACGGACGTATTCCGGGAGAT